AGGGCATTCCTGGGAACAGTGGTTTGCAGCACTCTCTGAAGACACTAGCAGTCACCTAGGTTAGTCTGCACCCAGGCACATATACTTGTATTTGCTACCTTCTTTTCTAGACAGACAATCTTTTCCTGATTTATTTGATCCTTCATTTCTGCTTCCTAGAACTATGTTGTTCTCAGTCAAAGAGCAGCACATAAACTCTCGCCTCAGGCTGTGTTTAATAAAGCCTAACTTGGTTTCTGATGTTTGACTGCTGACATCTTTCAAGGCTCACCCTTCCTTTGTCTATGATCAAGAATTGCTGAACCCAGCACCACCCCCTGTTCACCATAAAATACTAAGCTAGTCTTCTCTTCCAATTGTCTTCAGCTAGTTCCTTTGGGGGTTACTCAGTTCTCCCCTGGAAGCTTGATTATGTGAATAGTAAACACTTGCATCTCTTTTTGGTTTGTGTGCACTGCCAATAGCTTGTATGTCAGAATCAAATTTTGGATGGTGTCCACTGTGCTTTTGCAAAGCGACTCCAGTGTGACAGCTGTACACATCATCTGCTTCGTGGGACTGGGTCCATTGCTTCCCCGAACAGCAGAGCTCATTTGAGAGGTGAGGGATGAGTAGGAAGGACGGGCATTGTCTGAGTGCTGGACCACAATGCACAGAGCAGGTGCCCTAGTCCAGGCTATGACACTCAGATTCCTTACTCTGTGGGAGTTACAGGAGGACTTGGAGGGGGTGGGAGGGGATGCTTTGGAGAATGTTGAGTCCCACTTGTAGCCAGGAGAAGAGGAGGCGATGGTTCCTCCTCAACCAGAACCCAGTGAGAAGGGCCTCAGAAGACTGGAAGAGAAAGGCTCCTGAAGAGAATTTGGGGGGCTAGCAGTTTGGGGCTAAGCATGGGGGATGCTTCCTTTCTCACTGTGAATCAACAGAGCAGGTTTACCCATCAGGATTTTCCAGAGATATGGAGCCAATAGATATAGATGCAGAGATATATGCTCTTGATTATACATACACAAATAGGGGGGATTTAGGTCAAAGAATTGGCTCATGTGATTGAATGGGCTGGCAAGTTCAAAGCTGACAAAGCAGAGAGGTGGGCGGGGTTAATGACCCAGAGAAGTGGTGCTGTGGTTCTTGTTCAAAGGCAGCCTCTGCAGGAACAATTCTGTCTTCTCTGGAGGAAAGCACACTTTCAGCTATCAGGCTGACTTAGCCTGCCTTACCTCTACTCCCTCTTGGAGTGGCATTCTTGGAGGGTTCAGACATGGAGGCTAGTCAATGGCAGAAGAGCCAGCAACGTTACTCCAGGACAGGGAGAGCACATTCCATCCTGCTTCAACAGCCAGCGTTCTGCAAACTCTGGCCCCAGCTGGGACCACTGCACCCTATTAATATTAGGTCAAATTCCGACCAGTGCATAACTGGAGAGGTTTTGGGTCACGTGAATTTTCATCCTGGACCAGGGCATGACACAGCCTCATTGAACAGTTTTAAAGAGAGCAGAGAAACAAAAATCAAGTTTAATTTCATAAAGCATGACCATTCAATTTACTATTAATTCTATTTGGCCTCTGAAGCCAGTATTCAGGGAAATTTTTTTTTAAGTTTTTCAAATGATTGTTTGATGAGTGGAATGATCTTAAAAAATAAAATAAAATAAATCAGGGCACAATCTCTAGATTTGAAATTTTTCAGAAGTGGTTTTCCCTGAAGTCCTTGTAATAAAATCCTTAGAAGGTGCTGTAATATCCACAGTGGACGCTGGGTGGCAGCCGTCCACGGGCGCTGTGTCCAGTCTTCCTTGCTGTGGTTTTGGGGGAGAAACATTTTTTTCCTGTTTTTCCTTTTTTTTTTGCCCATCCTTCCCAGAGCAGCTATTTCTCCTGCTTTGGGTAGAATCTCTTTTCTCCGACAGTGTTTGTTTTATGATTGGATCCTGTTTGGCTCCACGAGGCCAATTTTTCTAATGCTTTCTGAATATCATATATTCTGGTCTATTTATGTTAAAGCAGTTTAGAATCTCTGTTGGCTTGGAAGATGTCTATTTTTTATTTTTTCTCCTCCTTTTTTCTTCTGGTTTCATTCAAACATGGACAGACACTTTCAGTATCAAAAGCTGTTGTTCTTTTTTCCTGAAAAAGTTTGCTACAGTAATGCAGACTTCCTCAAAATCCTAGCAAACATCAGAAAGAGAAAAGACTGGTTTTTATTTTGCTATTCTTGAGTATTCATTATTCGTATTTGCACATGTCATTAGCATGGTGAGTTGTCTCTCAGTTTATACCAGGTGGTGTGATTTTTTAACCCCCTTTGGAATGGAAGTAGAAATTTGCTTTATTAAACTATGCCCTTCATTAATGTTTTTTAATGAGTCTTTTCCTTTAAAATTTCATCACAAGGATCCAATCCCACCTAGAAAAAACGTTTCATTTTTCAAATCAATTACATACGTTTCTACGGTTCTTTAGAAATGAACATCAGCTATTGTCTGGGGGAGGGCCCCGGGGTATGGAGAACCACGGGGCTTCAGTGAGCTGGTCTCTGATGAGGGACCTGACATTTGTGACTGCATTTGCTCTGTGTCCTCAGGCAAAACAACAGGTTCGCTGTGAATTTTAGATGAGTTTGTTCACCCTCGTCATAAATATTGCGGAATGGCAGGTACCATTCTGGATGAGAGGAGACCTGGCTGCTCCGTCAGTCACAGCACACCGCGACACGTGGCCGGAGCAAGCATGACTACAGACAGCACCTAAGGTGTGCATGTGGAGTCGTACGTGGGGGAAGGAAAAGAGCCTGGTGCAAAAGTTAGAGACACATTTAACAGAAGGCCTGGTCCAGGTGCGCAGGCAGGTCCAGGCTCCCTAAGGAGCTAGACATAAGGTGAAGTCAGAAAGATAGGCTGAAATCAATCAAGGAAAGGGCAGTGGGGTGATGTCTTAGTCTGTTAACAGTTGCTGTAATAAAATAGAAGAACCAGGAAACATATAAAGAACAGAAGGTTAAACTGAATATGGCGCCACTCACCTTATGATCCCAGAACTTTGGGAGGCTGAGGCAGGAGGCTTGCAGGTTTGAGCCCAGCATAGGGGAACTTAATGACATAGTGCGAAAAGCCCTGTCCCCCCACCCCCAAATACACACACACACACACACACACACACACACACACAATATACTATAGTGTTGTTCAGGTTTACTTGTACAGAGCTTCAAATTTTTCCCCTTTATAAATTTGTATAATCCTTTTCATGATATATATATCATATGTATGTATATATATACATCTGTATCATATGTATATATATATATGATATATATATCATATATATCATATGTATGTGGAAGACAATCTACTTGGACCACTTGGTAATTTGTCACAATTTAAAAATACATTTATTTTAACAGATCTTTCACTCCATGGTTTTGTGTTTTAATACAACTTTTAAAATGATACACAACTAATTGATAGTGTGATTTTGGGTAAGCTACTTAACCACCCGTTGGTTAAGTTTTCTAATTTGAACAAAAGAGTTAATAATCTTATGACTCAAAGTTAATGATTATGCCCCTTAATGAACTGCTTTGAGGATTAAATAAGACGAAAGCTGTAAAGTGAATTATAAACATTCAATAAATATTAGTGTTGTAGTAGCTACTATTATGGGATGGATATGAATATCCGAGTGTGAGACCCACAGACAGAGCCGGGATTAGGCAATGGGGGTGGTAACCAGGCTCTTGTTAAGGTGAGATGGATGCCAGTGTTTACTGGAGCTTATGATGCACTCTGCATTGCATAGAGAGTGAAGAGCTAAGTGAGGGTGTTTGTGCTTGTGTAGAGAGGTGAAGGAGAAACCTGGGTTTACACCCCAGTGTGTCTCTGCACTGGGTCTTCTCTGGTGCTATGTGGGATTCTGATACAGCTTAATAAGAAGAAGCAGAACTGACCTTGAGAGCTTGCATAGTGTAACTCGGTGGAGCTGGGTCTTTTAAGTTATTATTCCCTTTATCTGTTCAAGCTCCATACAAACCTGATCACCTTGAGACAGTCTGACTTCCAGCTGAGCCATTGGAAGACTAATGCTTGAGGTTACACTCATCGCTGAGTGGGGAAGTTGGAGTTGGAATCCAGCCATTCTCACTCAGCTCAGACCTCGAATCCAGGCATTTTAGCTATTAATTGCATAATCACAGTCACAGTTTTCCTTCTAAAACTTCCAGAAATGTCCATGACTTTAAACTATGACAAAGCAACCCTTGTGGGATTTGTTTTCTTTACCTTGAAAGAGGAGAGTTTGGGGCTGGGGATTTAGCTCAGTGGGATAAGCACTCGCCTTGCAAGTAGGCGGTACTGATTTAAAAAAAAAAAGAGGAGAGTTTAATTAGTGAAGCTTCATGTTGGCTGAAGTAATCTGTAAGGACACTCTGAGCCTTGAGTTTCCATAATTTCCTTATTAAAGAATGCATAAAGTATCTGAAGTTAAAAAGCACAGTGGTGTAAATGTAATTGTACAATCAAGTCAGTGTTTTCAGTGGCCAGTCAGTAAACGTAGAGAGGATGTCTAAACGAAGACAGAGCAATCAATCCCCACCGTCTATATTTTGAAATTTCCTCATTCAGGATAAACTTAACTCGGCACACATGGTGATCCCAGCCCTGTGCTGTGGTATCCTGTCCCCATCTCTGTTTTCAAGTCTCCCAGAAGCAGGCATAAGAAAAAGACCACTAAGTGCACAGATGACAGAGGATTATGATGTAAATATGTAAAAAATGTTATAGGAACAGAGAGAATCTATGCATCTAGTGAAATCTGCTTAGTACAAAAATGAGTGAGCCAACAAAAGTGAGAAATATGAAAAGGTAGCTGTGGATTGGGAAGGCAAACCAGCTATAAACAATAAAATACAGAGGAACCCATCTGTGGTGGTGAAGAACGAAGCCACAGACAATTCTGAGGAGAAAGAAAGAAAGAAAGAAAGAAAGAAAGAAAGAAAGAAACTCAGTGATAGTCTTTTATTACATTGACTTAGAACTCAGTGAAGGAATTTTCTTCTCTTGGGACTTTTGAGACACATCTCCTATGGAATCAATGCAAAAAATTAAATCTAACACACAAGGCCAATACTGAATTACAGACCAGTGTAATCAGAGAGCACACACACAAACAGATAGTTACATATTTTTCAATACTGTAGCCAGCGTTGTGATGACAACGTCTAACTGTCTTTTCATCCTGCTGGGATAACAACTGCTTCTCCTTTCATTTGCTTTTCTTAATAATTGCAGGGCTCTTTGTGGAAGTGTCGCTATGGGGAAGAGTGTTCATAAGTCAGCGATTGTTAGGGAGGTGCTTTGGAATGTAGCCTTGTGGACCAGAAGGAACTTAAATCCATTTCATGCTCAAATAGGAGAGCAGAAACACTGCCAGAATCTAGCAGTTTTGTCTTCATTGTTTCTTCAATTTGCTGTGTTCCCTTGGCTGTGGGGGTAGAATTTTCTACGTAAAAGTCAAGACCTTGTCTTTCATCCTTCAAAATTTGGAAAAAGGGAAATGCTGTCGAGCGATTTCTGCACCTTCTCTTGGGTCCTGAGAAGAGCCTTTGGAGTCGGTTCATGTGAGCTATGTTAGGGGAGCTTGGTTGACAATGAGACAACTGTCCTAATTACTAAGCCTTGAGAAATAATTATCTCAGCCTTCGGAGTGAGTTACCTTTGCCCTCAGTCACAGGACCTGGCAGATGGCGGATTCCAGGAGGTTTTGGGATGATTTTCTTTGGATCTTCAAACAGAATGTTTGCAGAAAGTAGTTAGATTTAATGTGTTTATCTCTGCCCTTGCCAGCTGGTGGCCTCAGAGGGCATCCAGAGTGGCAGGAAAAGGCACTGTGTTTGAAGAACAGATACATTCTTTGATTACCTAGTCTGTGGACTCTCTTAACTATTGGATGTTACTGATGTTTATTCCTTTGCCCTAAAAGGAAGTGAATGTCTTTTTCTTAAGTGGATTTCTGCTTCCTGGGCTTCTCTGTGTTCTTATCCCAGGGCTTCCTGTCCATTTCCCCTCTCTGAGTGTATTTGCCATTGTCTGTTATTGTTATGTGAGACTCAACGAAAAAACTCAGCACAAAATGCAGTTTTCGGTCCTGGACATCACAGTAGCTTTCCAACCTCATTAACATTCCAGCAAAAATTTAAAAACAGCAAAACGAAACAACAGAAACCTGAGCACATCTATTGACAATCCTCTTTGTCTGGTATCTGTGTAGCACACCTTTATAAATAAGCATGTACAAAGATAAAATAAGCCAGCTTGTTTGTCAGGCGGGAGTGTAGTAGATTGTAAAATAAATAAAATCAAACAGCCTTAATAATCTCCTGGAGTAAACTGATTTTCTTCCCTTTGGCAAGTGAGCTCTGTGTATGCTGCCCATATTCTGTGGTAACCAATGTGGTGGGTCACCCACCAGCTGCAGGGCCCAGATTTCTTGTGTCTACAAACCCCTTTCTTGAACTGACATATAGGAAGGAAACTGCAATAGAAGCTTCAAAGCTAGTTTAATGAGGGTGACCTAGTTGGAAAAAGTGTTAAAGCATCTCCAGTGTAAAACCTTTTTAATTCTCACCAACGATAAGATGAGTCATTTGGAGTTCTGAGTACTTCCAATTAGCAAGTGGGAGACTCTGATTAAAAAATCAGGCCCACTGCATAGCACAGCATACTTTGGATTTTTATTTTGATAAGTGGTTTTAAGTATTTATTATAATAATCCACAGTCTATGGGCTAATGGGCTGCGGTGTGTCTTTTAACTGCGATAAAGTCTCGAGGAGATGCAGTTACATCTTGGTTGCCATGTAAAATGAGGACACTTCTTTTTTTTCCCACACAATGATCATGTTTTCCGATTAATGAAGTGAAAAATAGATCATTTTACTATATAGAAATTGCAATATCTTGTACATAATACTACACACAAAACACATGAATTGCTATTAATGGCCTTGATGGCTGTCCTGAAGCATACCATTTAATTGCTTTCTTCTGCTGCTGCATTTGCCTGTATTTTTCTTTCATTATGGGAGAATAGCTGCCTGATTTTATGGCTAGGTTTTTTTTTTTTTTTTTTTTTTTTAACGTCAGAACTGGAGTTCAACTTCCAGTGCTGCTGCTGTGCTGTCCTGTTTTTGATGCAGAAGTCTCATTTGCAGCTCCGTAATTCTTTCTTCACAGCTCGCAGTGGCTGAGTGTTCCGGTGATTGGGCCGGCATGCACTGTGTTCCTGGCTTTGCTCTAATTATTTTGGACCAGTCTGATTTATGTAATCTGTCACCTTGACATTGACAGTACAGCTTGTGGATGAAGATGCTCTTGTGACAGGTGCTGAAGAACTCCTTGCTGGATGCTAACTGTCTGCTAATGACCTTCTTAATTTGTAGACTCGAGCAGAAAAAACACAGCAGTAACTCTTTCGGCCTTTGTGTGTCTTCTCAGCCTGTACTAGAGCACTCGCTATTGATGCTATTGGTTCCTTGTCTGGGACAATAAGACAGTTAAAATATTTCTGCCTCTTGGAAGTTCACTTTCAACTCTGTCCATTCTATTATTCTCCTTGGTTTTCAAGAGCCTTATTAGAGTTTTTTGAGTTCCTGTAAATTTCAATGGGCTCTACAAGCTCTGGACGATTTTAGCAGCATTTCACCAAATGTAGCCAACTTCCCTCTTGCTTCTCCTGTGCAGGCTCCCCACTGTCCTACGCAGCTGTTCTAGGTTCTAGAGAAATCTGATTTCAAGAGACAGTTTTTGTTGCTGGCTAAGATTTCCTCAGATCCTTTTGATGCTCCTCCTAGTAAAAAGATCACATCATGTGTTATGGCTTGGGTCTAGATGTCCCTCCCAAAGATTCATGCACTCATAGGCAGAGCTATTTGGAGGTAGCTAAATCTAGAGTGTGTGATGCTTGGATCAAGGCTGTGAGATTACTAAATTAGTCCACTGATGGGTTTGGTGTAGTGTTTGCTCTGATGAAGGTTCCCTCACCCTAAGTGTGAATGCTGTCTGCCCAAAGGTGAGGTAGCCTAGATAAGATATTAAGAATAGAAGCAGGATGGCGGGGGACTTGTTGCTTATCACATGCTTGCTGCTTCTATCTGCCCTGTTTTGCCATGGATGGTTTATCCTTGGTGACGCCCTTCTGCTGTGCCACCTGCCTCAGAGCCGGCAGATTGTTCTGAACCCTCCACAAACCATGAGCCAAATATACCTTTCCTCCTTTAAATTTGAGTATTGAATTTTTTTGTCTCACCAAGGAAAGTAATTAAAATACCACAAATGGTCTCACTGAGATCTTATTTCTTACTGCCTGGGCTTTTGCTCTTCCATCTGGTTCTCTTTCATCCTCCTGAGCTAAGGATTTTTAATCTGAACATCTAACTGGCCTGCACTATAAAGGTAGATGGCTCAGGAAATAATTTAAAAATACTTCTCATTCTTTAAAGTCTAGATCTGTGACACTGTGGTATGGTTTTTCTTCAATTTCCAAAGTCGCAGGTTAGTGATGTAAGTTATACTTCATACCATAAAAAGCCAGAAAGTCTTATCAAAGAAAATATCACTGTCCAAATGGACTTTTTAAGTTGTCTTCATCAGGTCTGGTAATTAGCTCTTTGTTTCCCCCTCCCTTTTATGTTGTAGATGGTTTGTACCACTTGTCAGTTTCTGCCTGTTGGTGTGATTCACCTAAGTTTGCCATTAGGATTTAGTTTGCCAGAAAGTTGAGTGCCATTCCTGGCATGGAACAGAAGTGGATAAGTACTGACTTTGGACTCATTAAAACAGGATTCTGGTCAGCTGAACCCATACCAGGATAATTAGATTCTATGTGACTATATGTACATATGACATATGAGCATATATACTCTCTATATAATTACCTGCATGAATGTATACCTACATTCACAAACACATATGACTGGTACGCTTAGTTTATTAAAGTTATGTTCTAATGAGTTCATAGTATGGCCAGATCTATATTTCTATCTATACCTATATCTATCTCTATATACTACATGGTTTTTATGTGTGTGTATATATGTGATGTTTGCAAAGAACTGGAAAAGCAAATGTATATCATATGTAATGAACTGAGAATTTTAAGTGGCTTCTCATTTATATTTTCTGATGATATTGAATTTTCCATTCTAGGGTAGAATATGTAAACCTCTAGGCAGCAAAGAACTGTGATTTATTATTTTCTTTCTAACTACTTTTAGTTACTTTTCTCTTATTGCTGGAACAAAGTATCCACTGCCCAAAATTAAGGAAGGAAATGTTTGTTTAGCTCATAGTTTGTGGAGCTAACAAAGTCTGTGATTGGTTGGCTTCAAGGCAGGGTGACATGGCAGAGGGGCAACAGTTCAAGGTGGTGAAAGACAGCAAAAGCAACAAGAGCACATGGGAGAAGCCAGGGAGCAATCCTCTTCCCTCCCTTATATTGTAAGGAGACTTCTCGTCCTAGGGGGGATGTAGCACTCAGACCCAGAATCCAAGCATTGGACCATGAATCAATCAGAAACTCTAGAAGCCTGCCCCATGACTGCATGAGGCTCTGGGGGGACATCTAGACACAAGCCATAACAACTACATTAATACGTATTATAAAATCATTCTTTTATCAAGTTAGTGTGCAAGTAGTCAGCAGAGATAAAACTACTGTTGATCTAGAATATTTATTTAATTGCAGCTAGTGCAGAATATGTGCTTTTTGTTTCTGGTTTATGGGCCAGGTTCTCTTCACCCCTGCAATGCCTCCCTTTCAAACCTCATTATCTTTGGGGTGGCGGATATAGCTCAGTAGTACAAGCATATGTCTGGAATACACAAGGTCATGCGTTTGATCCTGAGTGCCAAACAAAACAGCAAAACAAAAAAACCCAATTTCCTCAAAACTCATATTTTGAAAATTGCACATCATCTGTTTTGAAATTTCACGATGGGACTTATTCCAATGATAAAAAATTTCATATCTCTTTCTTGTTCCTTCTAGGATCTCCTTAGAAAGTTTAAAATATTCCATCTGAAGTAGCATAAATGGGTACAGATTTATGCATTATAATCTGATATAATTTCTTCCATAGTACTCATAATATTAGTACTATAGAGCTATATTTTTATATTTTTATTTTTGGTAAAATATATTTAGCAATCTCTTGTGTTGTTTGGGGGGAAAGTTTTAACTTTGTTAATATAGCACTACATTTTTCAAATAAGGTAACAAACATAGAAACAAGCTTTAATAGTTTTCTTTATCACCAGACTCTACTCTCCTCCCACCAATAATATCTAGCCAGAACCTGTCTGTTTCATTCAACATCTTTTCCTTTTGTTAGTTTTCAATTATAAGATAATATATAGACAAGGCTAATACATAATTTCTTTTTCCTTTGGGTACTAGGAATAGAACTCAGGACCTTCTATTTGCCGAGCAGGCGCTGTGCCATTGAGCTATATCCTGGCCCATAGCCAACTTAGTTTTTGCTTATAATTCAGTTGCCCAACAGGACACTGTGTGTAGCTGTGGTGATTAGCAGGCAGAATGGATAAAGCTTAGAACATTATTCAGTGCCTAAATGAAGGTCACATTCCCAGTGCTAGTTTAAGTGTGCATACAAATGATGGCAATTGCCTTGGTCTTTAGTGTTACACAAAAAATGGTTTTGTTAAATATGCTAATTATTTAGCTAGGAAGGGAAAATTTTCCTACAAACAATATTGAAATAGTTTAAATATGTACTGTTAAGGAAAGGATCAGTCAAGTAGTATATATCTAGAGTCAAAATAAAAATAATTTTGAAAGCTAATGCAAATGGAAATTAGGTTGAGATTTTTTATTATTAATAATAATAATAATAAAGGACTTACTTTTTGCACTCCCTAATTTACTCAAGGATGAACTTCGAGTTTCAGTAGTAAAATAAAGAGTTTACAAATTAGATGCATGACAGTGCATAGATTTATATGAAAGAGTGTTTTAACAGCAGTGAACCACGGGGTGAAGTAGAAGTGGCTGGAATTTTAACAATCAGTGTGGTTGCTTTATTTGGTCACAATGACGAATTTCTCCCTTTTGTCAACATAAGATTAATCATCCTCAAGTTATCTTAATGATATCGGGCAGAGCGTGTAGTTGTTCTCTGCTTGGAAAGTAAAAATAGATGCACAATCAAACTGATTTTATCTTTGAATGCCAATAGTGACAGAAGGAACAAAATTTTGTCTTTGAAAACCGGACTGTTTTTACATTGCACAAAAGGTTGAAGTAATACTTTATTATTTGTATTATGGCTCATATGAGTTACATCTAAAACATGTAGCAAAGTGAGTTGTATTTAATTAATCCTTTAGGGTTCACTCCCATTAATTCGTTATGGAAAAGTATAGAAATGTTTGGATAAGAACTATTTATGATAATTATGCACTAACAAGAGGGCTGTGAATTTTTGTGCAATACTTTAAACCACCCCCAGATGAACAAAAACACAAGTGTCAACTATTAACCAAAGACCAGCAAAGCAAAATGAAGTTCCAGATGGAGGGACGGTTTGGGGATACTACTTGGCAGATAGGGCATGGCTTGTGTGGCGGACGTGGTGAAAAGGATGAGAGTGACCATTCGCTTACTGGGCATGATGTACCTGCAGAAGTTGCCCTTTGTGAGCCCTTTGCATACATCCGCCTGTGTACCCCTAGACCCCTTGAATGTTAGCTCCCTCCTGAAACAAAAGCTAAGACCCTGATCCTTCTAGATTATACCACTCAGTAAAACAGACATTTTTAGGGAACAGCTTACCTCTGAAAATATGGACAGAACAAAGACCACATGGAGAAGCTCACCTTGAGTTTGCCCCTGCCACATAGTTCCCTGTTTGGCAGTTCCTCCTCCTGTGCGATATTATAACTAAAGCCTCTTCTTTGCTTTACTTTCATTTTCTGAGTTCCTCATTGTGTGCTAGAGGGATCTTCAGTTCTCAGAAAGCCTTACTTCACTCCTTGCGTTCTTTGCTGGGGTGGGGAGATGAACCCAAGAGGCAGAGGGCTCTTCATAAGGAGATCCCATTTTCCACCCCCTGCCTCAGGCCTCCATCTGATGCAAATGGATATTACACAGACAACATAGCGTTTTCTTTGGCAAAGAAAACAGAAAGCTGAATATACAGGAACTACGTGTTAGACTCATCGCGAATCACACTGTTAGGAACTTGCTGGCAGAGATGCTTTATTTTTCCGTTCTGATATTTGCAGAGCCTGATACAGTACCTCTGTTAAGGTACACATGTCTGGTCACCTGCTTGCATGAGGGTAGCCAGTCCAGGAGGACTCTGGGGTGGGGAGAGTGGTGATCACCTTGTAGGGAGCCTCAGTATTTTTATGTAATCAGATGTAAATCAGAGGAAAGTCAGTGCTCTCTCTAAAATGGAGTTTATGAAATGCTCCTTCACAGTACTTGTTAAGGATGCACGTAAAGTGTTTATATGCATTCATGGCACTTGGTGGAGGCCATGGTTGGTTATTATCATGTTATTATGTTAAAGGAGAAAAGTTAACCCATGTGTGACTGGGATCATGAAAGGTCTTAGAAAGGGACAGTCTACAGTTTTCTTGATTCAAGGAACTAGTAGCTGTGCCATTCTGACTCTCCCGGACCCTGAATTGCATTGCAGGATGCCTTACTCCATAAAAGTAGATGAATAAATACAGTTTATGATAGCGTTAACATAAGGATTAACACAATTCAGACTGAATTCACTACCATCTACTTATTGTTATCCTCATACTTTCCCCTTCTGACTTAAAATTAAAATGTGTTTTTGGGTTTCTAAAGGTTTCATGATTCCTAGATACTTTCTGGTGTTTCTGGTAGACTGTTAGACCATGGTATTATAGGCAGCGAAGTTAGACAGAAATTTATAAACAGTCAGAGTAAAGACATCAGAATTATGTCTGAAGGTGCATCTGAAGATGACCAAGCCTCAAGATAAAGATGCACTGGCCAGGCCCACATGGCTCCCTATGGGATGAGCAGCAACTTGCAATTATACTATAGTTAGCACTACCTGACCCAGAAAGTCCAGAGAGGCATCAGTCACCAAAGTGGAAGACCAGATCATCCGGATCCATCCCTTGCCCCAAATGTACCCTCGCTAGGTAACTTGCTTCCCTACTGGACTAATATTAGCTAAGCCGCTATACTTGTAATCCTGTAGGTTGACTATAGTTTGATCTACATTGTACCCACATCATAACTTTGCTGTATGAATCACTGCAGACAAAGGACCTTGGTGGAAACTGACTTTTGGGACCCCTCTTGTCTCTCAGTAGCCATTTCTATTCCCCAATAAAAATGTTTCTACTCTTACTATCCATTGTCCTTTGGAATTTGTTCTTTGATTTCAGGGGACACAAACTCAGCGTATCTGACATTTAGCAGGTTGAGAGTTATATTTTCCCCTACATCACTAGGATTGGGAGCAGGACTAAGAACTGGCTTGTTGGAGACGTAACAGTAGACCTGGGGATGATTCCATGCTTGGATCAGAATTTAGGCTCTAGGTTCATTCTGGGATCTGCTACTTCCTAGCTTTGTGTCTTTGTAATTTATTTTATTTCTCTAAACTTGAACTTCTTCATCTATGAAATGGAATATAATGGATATATATTTGAAAAGTTGTTCTGTACACATTAGAGTGAGATTATTTGTGTAAAATCCTTAGTATGGTTGTTTGGAAGTGGTAAACAAACAATGACTGTGAGCTATGTTAATCTTAACTCAATGTGTTTCTGTGTTTTGAGCATCAGTCTTTCCCCCTCAGTCTGTTCTCCTGTACCACCTTTGGAATAACTTCCAGCCTTCCGTGAATTCAAGGTCATGGCCTGGTTTCCCATGCATCAATAATGATTTCTGAGTGTTTTCCATTAATCTAGAGTTTTTAAATGTCTAAAGAGAGCAATGCTTAATCCCAAAGGTCCAAGTGTTTATACATCTTTCTGGACTTCTCCCTACCCTTCCATTTTATGTATTATCTTCTACCATCCAGAGAATTCTGCTCTGCTTTGCGTCCAGAGGTTGCTTATTAAATGCCTGCCGAATGGAAAAGACCTAGGATAGCAGAACATCTGAAACAAGGTATTAAAAATGCAGTGTTGCCTCTCAGAGCTCTATAGTAACATAGAGGACAGCACCCTTTAGTGTACTAGCAAAATCCTCTCCAGAAATAGAATTCTGGCATTTTGAATTCAAACCCCTGATTGAGACAGGAGGTGAATACTCATGATACCTCATTTGTAGGCAGTTTCCTCTGATGACAGAGGAATGATACAGAATTTGTCTGAGATTTACTTCCTCTTCCAATTTCAGAAATCCTTCCCTCTTCTTTCTGAAAAGGTTATGCATTTAAGCCAACTGCTTCTGTTAAAATACACATAATGGGGAAGAAAGGACTTGTTGACCTGGGTAGCCAAATTAACTCTGATCACAAATGAACTGATAGGCCTGCAGCCAGGTTATCCTCAACCACTGCTCATCTCATTGCCAAGAAGACAGATCACCCCAGGGGCCAAATGAAAAGGAAAAACTAGACATAAACATTAAAAACCATGATTCTAGGAGTTTCACTTCCTTCTCTTGCTGCAATTTTAAATAAAACTGGTTGCAGAGAAGAAACATGATCTCACTGGAATCACCGTGCCAAAAATTACTTTCTCAAAAGGTACGGTCAAAAGTTAACAAGTGATGAAATATAATGATCAAATTCATTGAGCTCCCTTCAGAGTAGGGGAGAATTACTTGAAATTTTTAATTTCTTTAAAAAAATTAAGTTTAAATATTTTTTCAGTGCCTTGCAATGGCGATTGTACATTTTGCCAGTGTTTTAAAACACAATGATATCGTAATATTATAGTTACACCATTAGGTGAGATTCTTTAACGACCAGAAAATATCAGTGGATGTTCTTTTGAGCATGCCATTATTGGGTTCTGTTTATAGAGGTATGGGATAGAAAAGAAATTTATATATTTTAATGATGATTTTAAAAGACATTAGCCATAATGCCACAGTGACCTTCATCTTCTCTTGTTTTGATGGCTTCTCTGTTTCCTTTGTTGTCTCTTCATTACCCTTAGCTACTGGATTCCATGAGGATTTCTTCTAAGTTCTCTTGTTCTTCACTTCACATGCTTTCCCCTGAGGTCTCATTCATCGCCATGCTTAGGGCTCCTGACACTCCACCATTAGTCCATATCTCTGTCTGGAGTCCCTGGCTAGAATATCTAATTACCTACTTAATCTATCCACTAAGAAGGGTTCCAGGCAACTCAAATTTAACCCATCCCAAACTTGATTCTTTATAGTCTCTTTTTTCCTTCAAAAAAGCCCTTTCATTAGTTATTTTTGTCTGAGGGAATGGTAATTACCATCCTTCTAGTCATCAGTTTGGTGTCAATTTTCTATTCTCCCTCACTGTATCCCAGCACCACTGAGGGCTGTCTTCCAAGTTTCTCTGCATCTCTCCATTGTTTTGGTGTCTACTGCTTCCGCCCTCTGCCACTGTGTTTTCCCATTTTGCTTGCAATGACCTCACCATTGAACTCCTTTTAATGCTTTATTCAACCTCCTGTCTTCAGAAACAAGACTATGAGGAAGGACAGGAAGATTTTTATGCCCCCCAAGCCCAATCCTAATCACATCATCTCCTAATTAAACATCTTTTCCCATGGGGGCTGGAAGGAATATCTTCCATAGCAATCAGGTAGTGCGCCCAGAAGAAGTGTGCCACCTTCAACACATGCTCTTCTCTTCTCCCCTTACTTGTAGTCACCCAGTCTGCTTTATCGTTTTGCTGGAATATAGGTGTCACTGTTTGTCACCCATCTTTGGTCATCCTTCACATCCTAACGTTGGCTTTTTCTGCTGGGAGCTGTCTGAACTGCCTTTACTGACCCTTTACAGTGCCTCAATTATCCCACTTTGCATAATTAGAATGGGGGCTCTAATTATTTATTTAATGTAGACTTCGTGTGGAAAACACAAGACCATTTCTAACCCTACAACTTAAAACCAGGCTGCATAGCAATAATAGTTCAATAAATTTGTGAAATGAGTGGAAGAATGAAGAATATATAATTGCGAAAAATCTGGGGTGAGTTTTGGGAAAGGCAGTGGAGCATTCTGCATTTAAAACTAAGGCCATTTAAATTCCAACATACTTCTAGTTTAATGAATATTGAAATAACAACTTCCATTCTCCCTAAAGTACTGCAAATCACTAAGACCTAGTGGAATGAATGTTCGTCTAGCTGCTAAGAGACCTGGCAACCACTGCCACTAACTAGCTGTGACACTGGTTAAGTTCCAGAACTATTTTCTTTTTTGTTTTTCTTCTTTCTTTCTTTCTTTCTTTCTTTCTTTCTTTCTTTCTTTCTTTCTTTCTTTCTTTCTTTCTTTCTTTCTTTCTTTCTTTCTTTCTTTCTTCTCTCTCTCTCTCTCTCTCTCTCTCTCTCTAAATTTGTAAGAATTGCCACATTTGTGTCTGAAATAAACCTACAGTTATGAAAGTACTTAAAATATAGGTGCTACACTGAATAAAATTATTTTGGGACAAGTTTTTCTAAACTTACAAAATGTCTTTTTGCATTTCTTATTGTAAAGGAAATGGAGAGCTGCTGGTCTTCCTGAGTTCAGCTTTTTTCAAAGGGTAGTTTGGGGAGCCTCTTCATTGAATGTGTGGGGGATAGCTTGTTGGAAACTATTCTTGGAACTTCCCTCAAGACTTTTAAATTAGCATCTTGACAATGGATTCAAATTAAATTGTCTATCTATCCTCCCTCTCTCTTTCTATCCTTTCTCTCTCTGTCTCTCATCATCATCATCATCATCATCATCATCATCACCACCACCTCTCTAGCTTATGTATGCAAGCTCCCAAAGTAACCTAGGTGCATACTAAAATTTGAGAGCCATTCTTTGCTTTCCATCAGTGGGCTCCCTTTACTAGGGAAGTCTTGATTGTTCCCAAGTAAGGGAGACAGCAAATATTTCAAGGATTTTATCTTTCAAAACTCATCCTTACATCATGCATTTCTTCTTGAAGTTTTT